TGATAATCAATCTGAATATGCTTACTCTGAGCATGCTGAATAGGATTTGCAGTCAAATAGGAAGCTGAAATATTATCACATAAGAGATGCACAGGTGCCGTGATGGGGTAGCCGAGCTCAAAGAGAACAGATCTGATGTGGAGGGTATCATGAACGGTGTATGCAATAGCACGATACTCTGCCTCTGTGGATGACTTTGAGACGGTGGGCTGTTTCTTGGGTTTCCAAGAGATTAAATTGGGACCCAAGAAGACAGCAAAGCCAGTAGTGGATCGTGAGCTATCAGGACAACCAGCCCAGTCCGCATCAGAATAAGCAACAACGCATGTGGGTCGAGTAGAATGTTGTAGCCACAACCCATGATCACGTGTTTCCTGCAAGTACCTGAAAATTCTTTTGACTGCAAGTAGATGAGTAGTACGGGGTGCATGCATGAACTGAGAAACTAAGTGTACTGCATAAGTAATATCTGGCCTTGCCAAAGTTAAATATTGTAATGCACCGACCATGTTGCGATACTCAGTAAAGTCCACAAGTAACTCGCCATCAGAAAGGGACAAAGTAATACGAAAAGCTAATGGTGTGCGAACGGGTTTAACCGTATGGGGATGAAAACGTGTGACAAGATCGGAGACATATTTGTGTTGAGATAGAAACAAACCTTTAGGAGAACGAAGTGCCTCAAGACCCAAGAAATAATGGAGATTACCCAAATCATTAATGGCAAAGTGAGTAGAAATAACTGATATGAACTGGGTAATGGTAGACTCAGAATTGCTAGTAATAATAATATCATCTACATATAATAATAAATAAATGATAGAATTATTATGACGAAAAATAAATAGTGAATTATCATTTTACTACAGGTAAAATTATGTTGTAGCAAAAAGCTACTAAACCGATGAGACCAAGCCCGTGGTGCTTGCTTAAGACCATAAATAGCCTTGCGCATACGACATATATGATTAGGAAATTGAGGATGAACAAAACCACGTGGCTGACGCATATAGACTTCTTCTGTCAGGTGACCATGTAAAAAGGCATTTTTAACATCAAGCTGACGAATAACCCAACCAAAGGATACAACTAGTGTAAGTACAATACGAACAGTGGTGGGTTTAATGACAGGACTAAAAGTTTCAGAAAAATCAATACCAGCCTGTTTATTAAACCCTTGAGCAACTAATCTAGCTTTATGGCGCTCCACAGAGCCATCAGAATGATATTTGGTTTTATAAATCCACTTACAACCAACAATATTCTTAGTATTGTTAAAGGGCACCAGATCCCAAGTATTATTATTAATGAGTGCATTAAATTCCTCAGCCATTGCTTCTCGCCATTTTAAATGTTTATTAGCCTCAGTAAAACAGGTGGGATCTGCAGAAATAACAATTGTACTTAAATTAAAAATGGTTTTAGGTTTAAAAATGTCGGCCTTGGCACGGGTCTACATGGGGTGTTGATTAGAGACAGTTGTGGGCTCAATGGAAGTGGGTGGAGGGGAGACGGGATCGGGCTGAGAATTATCTTGGTGGGCAGACGGAGTGGGAGGGGAAGAGCTAGTGGCAGACTCTAAACGGAAAGATGTGGTGGAGGACTGCCTGGATAGTGAATTGCAGGTGGTCGAGCGGGAGGAGGGTGACGGAGAGGAGCTGGTCGAAGTAGGATTCGTACTGGTAGGTTGTAAAGGGGAAGAAGAATAGTCGAGATGGGGTTCGGCCGCCACAGAGAGCAGGCGGGTTTGTGGTGTTGGAGTCGTGTAGCTAGTAAGGGGCATGCTAAAGGTTGGTTGGGTTGGTAGAAGGGATGTCCTAGGTGGTGGAAGTGTTTTAAAGGGATAAGTATCCTCGTGAAACCTAACATGACGACTGACATAGACATGACCGGTAGTAGGATCAAGACAACGATAGCCCTTATAGCCAGATGCATAGCCAAGAAAAATACATTGGACAGACCTAGGAGAGAGTTTGTTAGCCGAAGTGGCCGAAAAGTTTGGATAGCATGCGCAACCAAAAACACGCATAAATGAGTAGTCAGGGAGACGGTGAAAAAGTTTTTGATATGGAGAGATACCCTTTAGTGTAGGAGATGATAATCTATTAATGATATATGCAGTAGTGAAAATAGCATCAACCCAATATTGACTAGGAATAGATGCCTCAAGAAGCATAGTCCTAGTTAATTCAAGAAGATGGCGGTGTTTTCTTTCCGCACCCCCATTTTGTTGAGGTGTGTCAGGACAAGATTTTTGAAAATAAATACCATTATCGGAAAAAAAATTGTTGCATATTGTGATTAACAAATTCACCACCTCCATCACTTTGAAATTTTTTAATTTTCTTATCAAAAAGATTTTCAACCAACGCTTTAAAATGTTTAAAATGCATAGTAACTTCACTTTTGTGAGTCATAGGATATAGCCAAGTAAATCGGGAAAAATCATCAATAAAACAAACATAATATTTAAATCCCAGATTAGAGCGAACTGGAGATTGCCATACATCAGAATGAATCAGTTGTAAGGGAAGAGAAGAATTGTGACAAGCATCCGTAAAGGGCAAACGTTGTGATTTTCCTAACCGACACGCGACAAATTCATGAGTAAAAGGAGTATGACTACATAAAAATTGTTTTCGTTTAAGGGACTGTAAAATAGAATCACCACAATGACCTAATCTAAGGTGCCACACAGGGCCAGAAACTAGAACAGAGGCTAAAGCTACGGATGGAGAATCTGACAGACGGAGAGGATATAGTGGTCCACTACTCGTAGCTCGCAGAAGCACCGTCCCTGAGGCCTTGTCCTTAATCAAAAAGGAATTTTTATCAAAAATGACAGTACAGTTATTATCTGCGCATAGCCGCTTAATAGAAATTAAATTATATTTTAACTGAGGCACATGATAAACAGATTTTAATGTGAGAGAATGGCCAGAAGACGGTAAAGCAACATCACCAACATGATAGATGGGTAAATGAGCACCATTAGCAACACTAACAGAATTGTAGCCAGTGTAAGCATATTTATTAAGCAAAATACCTTCAGATGCAGTCATGTGAGCAGAAGCTCCAGAGTCAGGATACCATATAGCCGGATTAGATTCTCCAGGAGTAGTCAACAAAGCAGGAGCAGAAGGCTGAGTAAAACGTGAGGGACATGTAACAGTTGAATGGCCTGCAGAAAAGCAAATTTGACACACAATTAGTAACACCAACATGTAATGCATTAATATTTAAATGTGACATGGCAGAATTACAAATAACAGTACTCGTAGTTTGCACACCCCCTGAATGTGGAGCATGCCCAGCTGGAGCGGAGGATCCACCCCCTGCCACAGTGTAACCGGCCTGATTCTGCCGCGGGTACCAAAATACGGTCTGGACGGGAGCTCCTCAGCCTCGTCCCCGACCACCGCGCCCCCTGCCGCGTCCACGACCACGGCCTCGGTACAGCTGACCGGACGGGCGCTGTTGCTGACCACATGGCGGATGAGAGCCCTGCACCTGGTGGCTCGGTTGTGAATTGGTATACTGTCCGGGAGAAGACGTCGCGACACTGAAAGCCTGATGGATGGAGGAATTGTCCTGGGAGCGGAGATAAAGAACTCGCTGCTCTTGTTCGAGGAGATGAATGCGAAGTTTCTCAAATGGAAAATTGTCGGGAAATAGCGAGACAGTAGTGAACATAGATTCATACTCATAACCCAGACTCATAATAGTAGTTTTGAGCACTTCGCGAGGAGGAACAGGGCAATTAATAATAGCAAGATCATCAACCAAAATTTTAATTTTCCTTAAATAATCATCCATTGACTGATCAGGTTTCTTTTTAATTTGAAAAAATAATCGCTTTAATTCCATAGATCTGGCCAAACTGGCTGACATAAATCGAGATTCTAATCGTTCCCAAATTTCACATGAATGTTTTAAATCCCGAACATCAATAAGAACATCACGAGAAAGAGTGACAAATAACCAGGAACGAATAGTTTGGTCAATGCGCAGCCAAGTAGAAAATTTGGGATTGGGAAATTGATGGTTAAGAACATCTATGGAATAAGCAGTAGGTACCTGAATTGAGCCATCAACCATGCCAAGGAGGCCCTGCGAGACTAAGAACGACTCAAACTGTGTCCGCCACGTAGTGTAATCTTCGATTGCTAGAAGCTTGGTAGTCACGATATTGGTGACGTTTGTCGCCACATGTGATATGGTCTGAGCAAGTTCTGCTAATGGAGAATTGGTGTGGCCGCCTGCTGGGGTTCGGACAGAAGAAATTCCCGACGACCCAACGAAGGTTGGTCCAGCGAACGAAGGAACCGAGAAGGGGGTGGCTCAAGGGGAACTTGCTGCACTGGAATTGGTGCTGACCAAGGGAACGTTGGCGGCAGATGCTGGAACAGGGAATAAGGCCTGGAATATTGGCCGGGTGAGGCGAAGCCCGGCGCTGTGGCGCTGGCGGTCGGCGCTGCAATTCCTGCGACGGACAAGGCAGATGTCGCGGAGGCGGTTTGTGATACCCCGAAAATTTAAACAAAAATAAATTAAAAATAAACCAGATAAAATATATCTGACAAAGTAAACAAAAATAAATATTGAAATGTTGTAATACAAAAGTAACAATGTCCAAATTAAAGAATTGTTTCTCAACGAAATATATACACATAATAAGAATATGTAATAAAATATAAAAAGTATACATATATAATACTAATGTGAACAATAAAAATGTATGGGAGCATGATGCAATTTAAATTGTGGGTAAGAATCATACACATATGTAGGTGTTACAATAATACAAGTAGCAATGATAATGTATGCAATGAACCTGCGTACTAGAGACTTGGGATTCATTAGAACAACCAACATTTTCACATGCATATTCATACAATAATAATATTTCACAATAATTCAAAAATCAAGGAATAATGCAAACCAATCACTCTAGATATGGTTGAGCCCAAGGTAGTCCATTCTCAGCTATAAATAGAGACATTTCCATCCCCTAAAGTTCAGTGAAAACGAGTAGAGCATATATATATACTTACTTGCCGGAAATATACACTTATATATATTTACGTAAGGAATTGCTTATAAACGATAGAGGAGGGTCGTGAGAGGTCTAGGAATACTTCCCAATAAAGTCTAGACCGATTCGTAATCACCAGAGCATCCTAGAGCTCGCCGGAGTTGCAAGTCGTGGAAGCGGGTCTTCAGCAAAAGCGAATATTTTGCCATAGATAAGGATGCCAGAGCTTCGTCTCGCCGTCAGGATCATTTTGCAACTTGAATCGTCGAAAACTCGAAATCTGTTACCTGTAAGTCAAGTTATAGCTCGCCGAAGTTTCCTTAATTTTCCGGTCGCCGGAATAACGACCTGGAGAAGAATGGGGAGGAAGACAACCTAGTCTTCTTGGGCCGGGCCAGTTTAATGGGCCTGTTCGGCCCATTTTCAAAAAAAATTAAAAAAAAATAGTAAATGAAATAAATAAAATCTGTAAAAATATAAATTAAATACCTAGTATAAATATACATATTCCGACCAACCACAATTGAAAAATAATATTTTTAACTATTTTTAATTGATTTAATTGTAATTGGGCCAATTTGTACATATTTAGTAAATAATTAACTAAACGACAAAATAAATTATGAAATAATTATTGGAGTAAACTAGATTAAATATATGACTAACTAGGTCATGTGGGACCATTTATATTTAATAAAAATTATGAGTAGTATATTTAATTGTAATTAAACCGGTTAATAGATATATGAAATTAAATGAATAAATAAGGGAAATAATTCTAAAATAAATATCTGGACAACCTAGGTCAAATATAGACCCAAAATATAGTTATGGACGGTTATAAATTTATAAAGTCATTTATTAAGCTATTTAATTTAATTAGGCCATATAAAACTAGTTAAGTAATTAAATAAGAAAATTTGAATAATAATGGTGAAATAAATAAAATCACTAAGATTGAAAATAATATTCTGGACTAAAATGATGTTTGGAATAAAATAAGGAAAAGAAATTGGTGTGATTAAATTAGTAATTATTATCCTTGATTATTATTGATTTGGACTCCATATAAATTATTAAACTATTTGAACTCATAAAACTTAGTTGATTAATATAAACAAATTAATTAAGTAATGTGTACTCAATAGTTAAGTTAATTGACTTCATTGGACTAGTTTAACTAAATCAATTAGTTTAATGGATAAATTAGTTAAATTATGGACGTAGTAATATTTTTGGACTTTATATTAAAAATAGAAAATTAAAATGAAATTAGAATTTGATTATTGACCTTAATTGAATTAGATTAATGTATTTAGCTATATTGATATAATTAAACGTATTTATTTTATTTAGTTAGTTCAATTAAATTAGTGAATCAATTAAATAAAACTGGAGGATTGAATTAATTAATTTAATTGGGTTAGTTAGTATAAATAAACTATTGAACTAATTAAAGCTGTTATTGAGATTAGATTATAATTAATGATTATTATTTCGAATTATTGCTTACGTCAAATTATTATTAAAAGGTTTATTAAATAAATCATATAAATCATGTAAACTGAATTTTGAACTAAATTGATTATTTAAATTTGAAATAACTAAATTATTATGTAGTTAATATAATTAGACTAGTTAACTAATTAATCAAATAAATTAAAGTAAATTACGGAGGGATTAGTATGATTAAAGAAAATAATAAGGTTGGACTGAAAATTAACATTTAAATAAGATTTATGGATCTAACTTAAAAGTTGTATTTAAAGAAGGAATAATGAAGTTAAAATAAATAAAGGTTGAATAGATAGGAAATAACAAAAATAATAGAATAGTTATTGATTTAGAATTTTGATATATATTAGAAGGAGAATTCAAGTGAAGACCAAGCTAGAGATTTTATTAAGAGGATTATCGCAATTTAAGGTAAGTTCTATGTCAACCAAAAATGTTTTATCTCGTATTTATATGTATGCAATATTTGAACTATGTGAACTATTTATGAATTGGAAACTATTTGTTTGATATGGAATGAATATTTTGAATGTATGGATATTGGTGGATTATTATTTGTTATGGATCATTAAATGTATATTCTTTTTATTAAAGAATATTGGTGGATTGATATTTATTACAAAGTATATTTTTGGAAAGTGTGACAAGAATGACTTTGGGAGAAACTTAAAGTTTTTCATAATATACTTTTACGTCTCGAGAGAAACACGAGGCGTGGGTGATTAGGACTACTACTACTTTTGGTGAAATTTATTTGGGTCGGTAACCAGTCCGGCAATGACATGCTACGGTAGACATCCCGGGCTTTTACTTGAGGACCAAAGGTCCTTTGGTGGTCGTAGTAGTAGTTACATAATTTACCCCTAGACAATGTCCCTTGTGAGTAAGTGGTAGAAAACATCTTCCCTACTTGGGTTTCTTACTACTCGGAGGGCTTGTAATCCCTTTTAGAGGGTGTGCACACTTAAGGTAGAAATTCAGCTTCCAAATTGGTGGTCAGTGGGAGCCGGAATTCCGGGATGAGTCGTAAATAACAACGACTCGTTGGGCTCGAGGAATCTTGAGTTTCGTCCACTCTTAAAAGAAATCTAAAGTATTACTTTTGGAGGAATTGAGGAATGACATTATCTATTGAAAAAATTATTTTGAGACATGAAGTTATTTTGGAGATATGAGAGGGTATTTTCTATATATATACCTATACCAAACCTATTTTCCAAATTATATTATTTTACGGGTTCGGGTGGAATCTTACTTAGCTCTAAAGCTAATTTTTGTCTCTTTTGTCTTCTTCTCTTTGCTCTATTGTACAGATGATTATGATTATGAAGATTGATGTACTTGATGCCCGAGTGTTCCGCTAGTTGCACACGTTTGATTAATTATCGTTGTTTAAATTTGTAATTCATAAACTTTGTCCTAAGACCTATTTCATTGTTATTTGCACTTATGGTGGATAGCCTGTGCACTCAATCATGTATAGGTTGAGTGTGGCGGTGATGCACCTGTTTTTACCTTAAAGACTTCCGTTGTACTCTAAATATGTTTAATAATAAAGATGGTTTCATTTAAAAATGTGATTTTATTTGGGTGGGAAAAATGGGGGTGTTACACGGTTGCCACGGGAGACGCCGCGGAAGACGGTGGCTCGGAAGACATAGCAGCATCGGCGTATTATTTTGTTTTTGGAAGAGGTGGCGGCTGCGATGGAAGCCTGGCGGCGCCGAGTGTAGAGAGAGAAAGGAAAAAAATTAGGATTTTAGTGTGCTCTTGATACCATGTGAGAATAATGGAACAGGATGCTCTCTAAGAAGCTCTGACAGATATATTTATAATAAAAGATTTTAATGTAAAGTACAATACTAATGATTTAATAATTCTATTACTTAGCACATCTTACGGGGTGTATTGGGAGAACTAGTAACATTGGAGGCATGAATTGATTGAGTTGTGTATCTTGTATGTCCGTGTTCACGCGTTTGTCTATCTTGAGAAAAGTTCGTGTGATAACAGGGTCAATGTTGTTTAGGTAAAGCTCGTGTGATTACATCGTGATTATAATGAGAGTGCCAATGGGTATTGCCAGCGTAAATGTGTAATACGTAGTAATTTTTATTATCGAAATACAAGGGAGACACGTCAGAACCAATCAAAGATCTTTGACTTTAGAAAGTAGGGTTTTGAATGAAAATACTCGACTACTTTCCATGCAATGTACAAATTATTACTCTCTCTATCCTTATTTAATGTCCTTACTTTCCTTTTTTGGATATCCTTTTATAAAGTCCTACTTCCTTATTTGATAAACAAAACAATGCAAAACAATATCAAACATTGTCATTTTCTTAATACACGTGTATATTGTAGTGGGAACATTAAATAGGGGCAAAGGGGGTAAAATAATAATAATAATAGTTAATATTATTATTATTATTATAGTAATAATGACTATTGTTGTTGTTGTTATGGAGGATTTGACTTTGCACCTCACTTTTTAGATGATATTAGACTTTGTATCTCGTTGTAAAAAAACATTGATTTTACACCTCATTTTATTTAAAAGTCCTTTTACTTTTGACACCGTTCATAAATTTTTCTTCACAAAATGTTACGTGATAGGGTGCAAAGTAAAAAAAAAAATCAAAAAAGATTGCAAAACTACATATCACTCAAAAAATGGGGTCTAAAATCAAATTCCCTATTACTATTATTATTAGTAGTAGTAGTTTTGTTATTATTATTTTTATTATTATTATTAGAAACACAATGTATGAATCATTACACAAAACACTCATAATCTTTAACTTATTAGTCTTCGTTCCATTTTTCAAGTTACCTTTGAGGTGGGGGAGTGATATTGTTTCCATGTCTATTGAAAGAAAAGAATTCTTCAAAAGGAGATCAGATATCGGCGCCGCTATAGACAGGCCTCTTTCTGTTTTCCTTGTGTTGGCCTATTCCGGGGTGCTTTACACTTTCTTGTTTCAAAGGTTGTGTATGACATTATCCATAATTCCATTTTAATTTAAAAACTGTATGTACTATGTATTTCCTTACTAAATTTCCTTAAAAAGAAAGTAATCACATTTCCACTAACCCAACGGCTACTGTACTAGCTCTTATCATGATGTTTTGCATCTTACCCTTTGCTTGTTTTTCTTTCTTTATTATTATTGTCTCGCTACAATTGTCTCATTTTATTCTTTCGTGAAAATTCATTAAAATTGTCTCCTGCCAAATTTAGTAAAGTTTGTGAGCATTTAAATCATTCTTACTTTATATATTCTTAGTTCATCGATTCAATATCAACCATATAAATCCATTTTTATTACTCCCCCCGTCCCCCTAATATTGGTATGGAAGGGTGTGATGTGGTTTTTAAGAAAAGTAGAATTATGTGGTTGGTAATGAGTTGATAAAGTAGAAATAAAGTAAGAATGAATTAGAGTCACACAAATATTACCAAATATGGTATCAGAAAATAATAAAAGGACATCCAAAAATGAAAAAATGAGACAATTATAGGGGGACAGAGGGAGTACTACGTAATAATCATGTCACTTCTTCTTGTCTCCATTTTAGTGGGACAAAGGTAGTACAACGTAAAAAATACTCCTTCCGGTTCTTAATTAGCTTTACACTTTTTTTTGGGTCGTCCCATATTAAAGTTTACACTTCCTTATTTGCTTTAAGTGACTAACAAATCTACACCAAACAGTGCAAAGCAGTGTCAAACACCGTCAAACAATATAAGGTAAAATCAAATTTATTTCTTTAATGTGTGTGAAGTAAAAGTGTAACCTTAGCTTCTTAGGTTTTATTTGTACGGTGTAATTTCTTTACTTTGGCAAATTGGCATTGACAGAAGGGATCGGTACAAACAAAACCATCAATTCATCAATGTAAATATATCCTCACTTGCCAATATGTACCTGGAATCGTACGCTGCTAACAACTCCACAAAACAACCAGTACATTTATTTATTTATACAAAAAAAGAAGACTGTATTAAGTGTGCAGATTGGGAAAGCAACCTTTTTGAGTTTTACCCATTTTCTACTTTAATTTCCTTTTTAATGTGAATGGCCAATCTTGCAGCAATGTTGTGTTGACCACAGTAAATAAATGAAACTGTGGCTGCAGGGCTAGATGGCAGTCCCATACAGTAACAAGATTGTGTAAAAAGATCAAAGGACTTGATTCACACTGCGATGAAGGGCGTGACAGCCAACTTTTTAACCCAAAAAGTAGAAAGATTCTTCCACTCATGCCATAAGTACTTACTACTTCCTACATTAACTGCATTTTGGGAATTGATTCTACTGAGCTGGTCTTCAATGTGTACACATCTGACGGCACAGACCAAACCCTCAGAAAAATAAAAGGGTAATGCTTAGAACAATCAATTTCTTCATCTTTAGAAAAAGATCATTTTTCTTGTTTGGAAAATGACATTTGTAGGTATTAGTTTACACTTTTATAGGCATCTAGTCTAAGACTCTAAGTCCGGTCACCAATTCAACTAACCATTTAATTTGTTTATGTTTATTGTCATGTTGGTGATGATATGTGGACAGACAACTTGTCTGCAAAGGACAGACATGTGTACACAAAAGGTGTACACAAAAGGTGTACACATTTGATGTACATCAAACATTTTCGAAATTAAATTACAAACAATTAATCTATGCGTGAATAAATAAACGGAGTATAACAAGTTTAAGTGAATAGGCACTGATTTGCACTCTAAGAGATAACTCGTGTTTGTATGAAGAAAAAATTACAATTTGCTTACACATAAAATTGTAATGTATAATAGTCGTTATTTGTTCATGTGAACCTATTGCACCCTCATATGGACATATTATTAACATATACGGAGTATAACAACTTTAAGTGAATAGGCATTGATTTGCACTCTAAGAGAAGTCATGTTTGTATGAAGAAAAAATCACAATTTGTTTACACAGAAAACTATAACGTATAATAGTCGTCATTTGTTAGTTCTTGTAGCAATATAGAAGTTATTTGTAAAATATGATCCTTAGCTTTTAACGTGTCTAAACAAAGTGTATGTCAATGTTTACACTAAGCATTGTTATATACCTCACCTCAACATTGTGAGTTTATTATAATAATGTGGTCAAGATTATTCTTATGTTCTATATATTTGAACACCACTCGACTTCTCGTATTCCATTCCCTTGTCTTAGTTTGATTTCCCGTTTTTCATCCATCACATTGAAATTATGTAATTCCCCTTATGTTCTCAATTGAATTGCGTTATTGACTTTTGAGACAAACAAATTCATTTTATTCACATAGCAGTGTATCAATTCTTAATTAAATTTTAATTTGAATTTTATAATTTTATAGAAATTTTGATGGATTTCTGAATATATAAATTTTAATTATTAAAATTGAATTATTATCAATATGAAGACTTTAACTTTACTAATGATTGATAAAAAAAATGTTAAACTTGCAAAACAATTTAAAAAGGAAGTAAAAAGGAAGTACTCTCTCCGTCCCTATTTAAAAGTCTTTCTTTCCTTTTCAGTATGTCCTAAAAAGTTCATTTTCCTTATTTAGTAAAAATAAAAAATACGGAGTACAAAACAATGTCAAACAATATCATTTTTTTAAATTGTGTAAAAGGACTAGCTCCGTGTGTTATTTGGCATAAAAAGCCAATAACCCACCGGCTTTTTTAGGGAGTTGGGTACAAAATAGACTTTTTTTTTGTTGTTTTTATTGGGAAAATTTGTGTAGATTATGTCAACTACAACAATATTACTTAGACACAAGATATTATCTTCATACAAAACATTCTTTTTTCATCATCGATCACAAGCAAAAAATGCCAACGAAATAGCCTTTGTATGAACAAAAAAAATGCTACATCAATTGGCCACAAAAAACAATTTTCCAAACAAAATGACAAACTTCCCAAAGATTTTTTGCTTTCCCAATTCACTATTCACCATCACCATCATTATTACCATCTCCCTTTTATCTTCTTCCACCACTATGCTACAACTACTTCTAGGCTAGGAAGACCTCTAAGCTATCTTCCTTCAATGCAGCACAGACAGGACAAAGCTCTAGAAAAACATCACATGACTTGCAGCAACAGAGGTGTCTACATGGAAGAAACACCACACTCATCACCCTTCTTGATTGACACACTTTACACCCCATCCCTTCTGATAACGCTGACGTTGATACACCGCCGCCGCCGCCGCAGAAGGACTGTTCTGACTCTCTTTCCGCCGTGATGACTTGTCTCAGCCGGTTGCTCAGCTCTGTGGCAATGGTTTCGTTCTCTGCAGCCTTTCTCTCCCACAGCTTAGCCTCCACCTCCGCCCCAATCAGAAAATCTTGAAGCTCTCTGTTTTTGTTCTTCGCCATTGCTATTTCTAAATCTTTCTGTCTCATCAACGCCGCGGCTTTTGTTTCATAGCACCGAAGCAGAGCCCTTTGCTGTCTCCTCTGTTCTTCCACTACCATCTCCCTCAATTTCTGGTTCTGTTTCGCATTAATAAATAAAGATTAGAAATACTGCTATGGGCAATGGGTAAGTGGGTATACGTTTTTTTTTTCAAAACAAAAACAAACGGATAGATTAGTTATGGTAAGGGATTCCAATTTACCTCGAATTGAAGAAAAAGATCCATTTCCAGGCTCTGTTTTTCGAGATGAGAAGGGAAAGGAGGAGGGAAGGGGTTGGGGGAGCGAGATTCGGGTATTTGTTGCAGAAGGCCTTGGGAAGAAAAGGCGCCGTCTTTGGAAGAAGCCATGAAAGGATCTTGAGAGTAAAACCAGGTTTGAACCGCCATGAATGTGTATAAAAAGTAGATCACAAGAAGGGAGAGTCTTGAATTCGGGGCTCTTTAGTTGTTTGGTTTTTTGTAGTTGACGATTGAGAGGTGGGGAAATGGAAGAAGACCAAGAGAAGCAAGAAACGGATGGGTGGTACGTTAAAAGCAAGGAGGTTGCGCTTTTGTTATTTTTGATGTTGGACGTTTATATCTGATGGGTGATAGTGAGGGTGGAGGTGGGGGTGAGGGTGGGGTTGATGAGTCATGAAGACTCTGAAGGCCTGTTTATTTTAATGCAAAGCAGGTGTTTTGGATTTTATTTATATTTGTTTAGTTTAATTTAAGTATATGTTTTTTTTCATCAAAAAATGTTTTTATCTATGGAAAATGTTTTTTAAAAATAAAGGATACGATATGTGTTACTCCGTACTAATTACTACTAGTAGTTATTTATAGGGGAATTTTGAGTTTACACTCCACTTTTTGGGAGGCCGTTTGGCAATACTGTTTTCCGGCTTATCAGAGTTATCAACCAAGTTTTTTCACCAAATACGTAAATTTTTGCTTTCACGCGCTGAATTGTGTAATAAGCAGAAAAAGTAATTCGGAGTTACTTTTCTGACTGTATTGACTGAAGTTATTGTAAATGACCATTTTAGCTATTTTTACATATAATTTTTTCTTTATTTTATTAATAAACTACGTAGTATATTTTAAAAATAATTTTTTCTTAAATCAGCAGAATCAGCCAATGTAGGCATGCAGTCACTTCAGCCAGAACTTTATAAATTTAAGCAGAATCAACCAAATCAACCGATTTTCGTGCTACCAAACGAGCTTCGGATGATATTGAACAACACCACATTTCCAAAACTTTTAGACTTTGTATTTATAGTACAATATTTTGTGAAGAGAATTTCCGAATAGGGTGTAAAGGCAAAGACATTTTAGGAAAAGTAGGCAGCAAAGTTAAAAGTTTTAAAAATGAAGTGCAAGCCCAATATCACTCCAAGTTTTGTTTGCAAAGTCAATATATTCTTTATTTTTTATGAATTAATTATATCTTTCAAAAAAATGAATTCATTATACTTTGTCCTATGTCAATCTACGTGGTATAGTATAACATCAACGAGGACATTTTAGTCATCTAATGTATTCTTTAACTTGATTTTGTAATTCAAATTTTTTGTTTTATTAATATGTGCGTATGACAACAATGTTTGAAGAAACGGATACACTAAATGTCAATGACGATAAGATTCCAAAGCAATTGGATAATGTATTAGTATGTCCGGAGTATTAGTTTTGAATTATGTATTAGTTTTATTAGTTTTGTAGTACTTGAATTAGTTTTAATTTTAAACTTATATTATCTCCATCTCATTGAAGAACTTTGAGTTGGTTATACATTAAGAAAAATAAAAACTACTCGTACTATTTGTCCATGGGAGACAAAAACAAAGAGAATTATAAGTTTATTAGTTTAAAGCAAAAGTTCTCGAACTTGAAGTAAAAACGTTTGAAAATTTTAAAATATGACTGTCATGTTTTTATTACGTAAATAAAAATAATAATAGTCAAACTCTGAAAATATAACCAAGTTTAAAGTCTGATACTGCGACAATAATTACTCTTATTCAGAGAATAAAAACACAATAATCCCATTTCATAAACACAAATGGTTTGTCTTACTTAAGACAATTTCCTTACTTAAAAATGAAAGTTATAAGGTCTTTTGAACACACAAAGAGAAAGATAGACAGCATTCAATATGAGGGAGAGAGTATTTCCTTCCATGAGGACTGACTAGTGTTTACTGTTTAGATACTTTCACTTATTAATACCTTAATTATAGATTATTAACTTCATAAATCAACTTTCAATTATATGAAAATTAATAAATCTATAATACGGAGTATTTTTATCTTTTATTGAAAAAACGTTTCAAACATAACATATTCTACCAATTATACTTTATATCATAGCAAGTACTTTTGATATGCTTTAATATACCTAAATAATATTTATCAATTCTTTAATGTCATAGTTTTAACAATAATTAAAATCTCGTTTTTGAAAAGTTATTCTAAACGTTTTAATCCTGAAGTTAACTTTTTAAAAACTATATCTCAAAAGTTAATACAAACTGAATATGAACATGTTTGGTAGTACTGAAATAGGCCGTATAGGCTACTTGAAATTGATAAACTATAGCTAAATTGGTTGAAGTGATTAAAATATATTTATAATAAATAAAAAAATGAAAAATCACTCAAATTGCGGCTCTTTGTAGTAACTCCGGTCATTTCGGTCAGAAAAGTACGTGACTTCAGACTTGCTTATTTTTATTATTACACAATTCAGTGCGAGAAATCAGAAGTTACGTGTTTTAAAAAATGTTACTTCATCCGTCCCTAAATGATAGTCCTGTATTTCCTTTTTGGGATGTCCCAAAATGATGGTCCTGTTTCCTTTTTTGGAAAGAAAGATGTGGTCCATATCATTTCACTTTATTATACTCAAATTTCAATCACAACTTTTACCTTTTCAACCACTTTATTAAAATATGTGCCCAAAAAAAATGAGACTATCAAATTGGGACGGAAGGAGTATCATACAGCCTATATGTAACATTATCAAATAGGGTAAGTGTTTTATTTGATGAGCTATATTATATTCTCTTCAGTTTTGTTTTCTTTGAAAGAGTTCAAAGTTCTAAAGCTTGTATGATTACTTCATTTGCAAAACATCAATGAATTTTTTCAATAGCTCTATTTACTCCAAATAGTCGGGTGTTTTACCGAAATACGGGAAAAGGGGGGTGGGGTTGCCAAAATACGGGGATTTTTCTAGGGTTTACCAAAATACGGGAGTCGGAACACCCAGTTCTGACTAGGGATAGGGTTTCTGACTAGGATTAGGGACTTCCGACTAGGAGGTTTTTTATTTTTATTTTTTTGCGCCATTCTTAATTTAGGGCTACACACTAAATTGTCGGATTCAGTTTTTTTTTTGTCGGATTAGGGACTTCCGATTACGGACCTCTCCTCAATTTTTTTAATTTTCTTTTTGAGTTTTAAAAACTAAAAGTTTTAAATTCTAGGGCTAAATTTTATCCATTCCAAATTTAATAGTTTTTTTAGATTTCTAGCATATTTTTTAGAATGAAAACTTAGCATTTTGATTTTTTGAGTAACAAAACATTTGATTACTTTATATTGTTTTTTAATCCATTTGTATTGTGAATTTTGTTTTAATTGCAATTTTTATAATTTTAAGTACAATTTTGATTTAATTCATTCGTCAAATGAGATACAAAACAAATGTAGTTTTCAATGTAATTTATTAATGAATAGACAGTACATACAATATTAAATTTAATACTACATCTAACGTTGCGTGCTCGGCCCTGCTCCGTCCCCACCGTGAGTGTTCCAAGGCCCCGTTGTGTCTCCATAGTAAAATGACAAATCCAAAAATGAATCAACATAATCACCCGCTTGTGTTGAATACTGATAAGAATCATAATACGGCGGTGGGTGATCAAATGAGACACCTTGATGCGTTGAGAATTGAGGGGATGGTTGATCAAATGAGACACTCTGACATGTTGAGAATTGAGGAGGCGATTGTGAGTGCTCACCCCCACATTCATGTTCATCTGCATCATCCTCTTCGTCACTTCCACCTTCATCTTCATAATGGAATATGTCCCGGCGGAGCATCTCTTCATCACCTACGTCCAGGGTCATCCGCTGTAGTCGTTTTTGACAGTCCTCATGACTCGCACGGTCGGCTAAGAGCCGATACACCTCGTAAAAGCCTTGCTTCTGCATAAAAATGTAACACGTGTAAATATGACATGATATATGTTAATGAATATGGTATGTATTCAAAAACTTACCACAATACCCAAATCGTGTGATGTCGGGACGTAGCCTGTCATGGGCACATTGTGAGAAGGGTTCTGGACACGTGTCATACCATGCTTCTCGTACCATTTTCGATACCTCTTAGTTGCTTCGACGGACATATGTCGATCATAATCAGTAAATTATATATTATGTTGTATGTCCGCCCACAACGCCCAGGCACCGGTTACTATGTTGGAACGATTGCCGTGATGATCAGTACCCGCCAGAGGAGCATCTGGAGTATCTTGCCTTATATGGAAGTGTCGAAGAAATCGATCGGGGTAATGCATTTCGGTCATATTGCAAAATATGAGCATGATCCTAGCCGACCAAAGCGGAGCATCATGAAGGATGATAGGTGGGAGTTCCTGGGACGGGTAGGGAGTGAAATCAAACTGTAAAAAGTTTAATTTACAATTTAACAACTATAAAACAATGTGTATTAAAAATTGAATAGTACGGTGGAAGTAAAAATTTCAAGTACTACCTGACTCTCAGTCATGCGGTCTAGGTCATCCCGGTACAAGCGTATGCAGTGTCTTGGGGATCCCTTATATGACTTGGGGACGATCCACCTACATTTATTGATTACCGAAATGAATTTACTAGTTGGGGACGATCGGCAAATAGTTGGACGACTTTATCGAATGTGGCCTTTACTAGAGTTGTGATAGGCAATGTGTGGCATCCCTTTAAGACATTGTTAAAACTTTGAGAAAGGTTTGTCGTCAAAATGCCATATCTTTTGTCATCGTCATAGCTCAGGGCCCACATCTCAACAGGAATCTCATTCAAATATAGAAAAGCACTCTCATTTATGCCTCGTATTTGTTCCATACATTCGTGAAATTCCTGTTCTGTGGGAGTGCTACCAGCATGCCAACGTAATTTTTTCAGTTCCGTGTTCCTAAACTTGGTCATGAAATTACTCCGTATGTGACGGAGGCAATAATGCTTTGAAACTTGTGGCGAACTCAACTCTGGCAAGGCTCTAAATGCACTTTCAATTCCTGCATGACGATCAAAGATAATGCACACACTACGATGACTTCCAATCACATCACGCATAACACATGCAAAGAACCACGACTAGCTGTCAGCATTCTCACTCTCAACAACAGCATATGCAAGAGGAAATATCTCACGGTTAGCATTCATGGCTACCGCAACTAGAAGAACCCCCTTGTATTTGCCATAAGTGAGTGCCATCAACCGAGACTACGGGTAAGCAAAATCTAAAACCGTCTATAGAAGCTCTGAATGACCAGAACACTCGGCGGAATTAAGACGTATCAGGAGTGCCGGCCTGTTGTGATTGCAAATGAACAACAGTCCTCGGATTTGAAAACTACATAGCTTCCAACAACTTAGGAAGTTCATTATATGACGCCTCCCAATTGCCGAATTTACGCTCCCGAGCGATCAAGCGTCCATTCCATGCTTTTTTATATGAAACACGGATATTAAATTTTTCATATATGTCTGACATTATCAGTTTAATGCTGTAGTCCGGGTCGGCTTTCACTTTTGGAGCGATTTCACTAGCTATAATTTTGGCTGTCAGGATCCTGTCATCCCGGGCCATGACATGATCCTCCCTACAACTGTGATGGGGTTGATATTTTTTTACTTTCCACTTTTTTGACGTCATACTTCTCCTGCTTGGATATGCCAAGTGCAAAGGGTCGGGTCTATGCAAACCGCCTTCCAGGACCGTGGCCTTCTGTCAACCGTTCTAAATTGACGAAATTGACGAATGTTTCTCTCGCCACCGCTTCTTTCACTGCATCATATGAACAGTAAACTGCGCCTACTTCGATCCTTTCAGGCTCAGAATCTACCGCTTGAACATATGGTTCTTCTAGCTCCACATTAGCCCAAGTGGTGTCTACTACCTCGTCACTATCATCGCTCGTGGATGAATCGACATCACTACTAAAACCTTGTTCATAGTCTAGGTCGTCCGACTCTTCACCCAAGTTTGTGACATTACAAAGTAGATACATTCATAAATTTCAATAATAATATCTGGGACAAATTATTAATTTAACACAATTCTTGAATTTCTAGAATTGAACACAATTCCTTGTAACAAAATATCTAAAATAAAATAAAATTATGGTTTGAATTTTTTGGTTTTAATTTATCCGAATATATAAAATTTTTAAGTTTATTTGGAGTATAAAAACTTTTTGTGCTCTGGTCGGATTTGGGTGTTCCAACAGGAGATTTAAAATTTTATTTTTTTAAAAATTCCACTTCCGTTAGATTGTGATGCATGCGGTTATTTCATTTATTTGAACGGTTGATAGAATGTGTTTCTTTACTATAATTAGGTAGAAGTATTGAATTTGTGCAGATGGGACGGACAGATAAAAAATTGAATTTTATCTCACTTTTTTGTGTGAGATTGAATTTGTGTCACTTTATTTTTGTCAAATTGAATTTGTGTCATTTTATTTTTGTACAGATATGGTTGGACAGAATATTGAATGATTAAATTATATCTTATGATAGTTATCTTATTATATATGCTCGGTCGTGGATGAATCCACATCACTTCTAAAACCTTGTTCATAGTCTGGATCGTCCGACTCTTCACCCAAGTTTGTGACTGTACAAAGTAGATACATTCATAAATTTCAATATTATTATCTGGGACAAATTATTAATTTAACACAATTCTTGAATTTCTAGAATTGAACACAATTCCTTGTAACACACTATCTAAAATAAAATAAAATTATGGTTTGAATTTTTTGGTTTTAATTTATCCGAATATATAAAATTTTTAAGTTTATTTGAAGTATAAAAACTTTTTGTGCTCTAGTCGTATTTGGGTGTTCCGATAGGAGATTTAAAATTTTAAATTTTTTTAAAATTCCACTTCCACTTCCGATTATTTCATTTATTTGAACTAGAATGTGTTTCTTTAGTGTAATTAGGTAGAAGTATTGAATTTGTGCAGATGTGATGGACACATAAAAAATTGAATTCTATCTCACTTTTTATGTGTCAGATTGAATTTGTGTCACTTTATTATTGTACAGATATGGTTGGACAGAATATTGAATGATTAAATTATATCTTATGATAGTTATTTTATCATATTTATTGGATAAAATTTTATCTGATTAAATTTATCAGATTATATTTATTTGATTAAATTTGATTTTATTGAACTTATCTAATTAAATTTTTTCTGATTAAATTTACGACTATACATAATTAGACTCTTCATCCGACTCTTCATCTGATTTTATCTAATTTTATATATTTTGAATACATAAGTAGACTATTCATTCTGACTCTTCACATATAATTAATTAGATACGCGTAATATTATTTAATATATCACAACGATTTGGTAATTACAATGCATTTACAAATATTTTTTAGATTACACCACGTTGATTATGGTTCTACTATTATCAAATTAGCCGCAATATATTATACTAGAGATAATATATATTTTTATTATAGCCTAAGTATATAATACACTAAGTAATACATATATTACTAATATCAGTGATATATACTCATTATGTTATAATATTTAAGATAGCCAACTATCAATTATAGCCAAATTTTACTCTGAAATTCCTATTTAACAATCTAAATTAAAAAATTTACAAATTACTAAATTAACTACTTCTACACTCTTTAAATGACAACAAATAAAACGAAATCATTGTAAATTCTATTTAACTTGAACAACACATACCAGGAGATTCGTAGTTCTGGAACGTTTGGCAGTTGTTCCTCCGACCATATACAGATGATGGGCCTTTCTCTCTGGGAGTTCCGTGGAACGTCAAAGTTTGTGGTGGGGTCGCTGAAGCTTCCACGTAAATGTGCAACTCCTCATACTCATTTTTAGCGATCCGGAAAAAATGATGCCATGTCTGCTCATCGTGAATGGGCCATAGTCTAGAAGCAACATATACAGAATTTTTATAATTTGGCAATTTTCTGTAAATTAATTTAATTTCGGAAAATCCGTCGCCTCTAACATGATTTAGAACATTCTCATGTATAGTAGTATAATCATCTCCTTCACTAATGAATAGTACCGCCCTAGGAGGTATGGAGTACTCTATTTCATCATCTTTTTGAGATGTAGAGCCATTCCAATGAACCATAACAACAATATTACCCTCACTAGACATTTTTATAGGAGAGGAGAATGCCTAAACAGAAAATGTAATAAATATATCAAGAGAGAAAGAAGGATTATTTTTGGAGTGTGAAAATTTTGAAAAGAAATGAACTCATTTTATAGGAGCTATTGGAGTACGGTGACCATATAATTCGAGTTGGTAGAATAAAGGAATACAAATAAAACACGTAGTGGAAACAATAAAATTAAAACAAAACTCCTGGTCGGATTCCAAATTCTAGGGGTATTAATTAATTTAGAACCCCTCCTCCTTTCGGATTACACAATTCCGACTAGGGTTTGGAACCCTAATTTCGAACCCCTCCTCCTGTCGGAAGTGGTGAATCCGACCTTCGTATTTTGGTAACCTAAAGTTAATTCCCGTATTTTGGACTGTCTGAACCAAAAGTCCCGCTTTTTGGTAAAAAACTCCAAATAGTCTCTACTAACTCCAGAGAAACTAATTGTTTAATTTGATCATATCGATCTTGATATAATATACTTTATTTAAATTTGTTTGCTTCTCATTGAAAAGATCTTTTAAAATTCTAAAATCTAAAATAGTCTCTACTAACTCCAAACAGTCTCTACTAACTCCAGAGAGACTAATTGTTTAATTGTTATATCCCATTTTCCATTATTTCCATGAATTAACTGTCGTTCACTCGTTCCTACGCTTACTTTTTCATATTGAAGTAATTTACGTAATACGGAGTACTAAATTACTAATGCATGCTCCGGTACTCCATCCAATTTTTAAATATATACTTCCTCCGTCCCAAAAATAACTTGACACTTTGTTTTCTACACATGTTAAGGAAATAAACTTACGCGAGGGTAAATTTTATTGTTTTGACACTGTTTAGCACTGTTTTGATGTAGATAATTTGCCAAATAAGGAAGTGGGAAGAAGTTGTTGGGTGTGTTTCGGAATAAACGAATAAATATTAATTAAATAAAATTAATTAATAAACAAAATAGCTAAAAGAAAACAGAAAATAAGGGAGTGAAAATCCCTTGAGTTTTTCGGTGTGGGATAAAACACACTAGAAACTCATCATTTTCCCAGTTTTTTCATTTCAACGAGTGAACTTCGAGAATCAATTTCTCATTCACCCGTTATCCGTTTTGAGCGTACCATATATCGAATTGTAGCCCTTAACAAGGACAATCCGAAACCACTTTGACCCGACCCAAATCGGAAGTGGACCCCACTCAAATAATTGCCCCAAAATGACCATTTAATGCAATTTTTAACACATTTTTCCAACATAAGTGTGAAGTTAATTTTGGGACATCCATTTAAGAAAAGTTGGAAGTTGTTTTTGTGACGGAGGGAGTATATTTTTTTTACTCCAGGTGCGTCTATGGGAGGGGTCTGGGGGGGGGGGGTCTGGAGTAATTGGGTCTGAAACTCACTCTATTGAGTTTCAAACTTTTATGTGTCTAGCAGGTTTTGAACTTGAGACCTCTTACTAGGCACAGTAACCTCACAATTAGCTGGGCTGGAATGCTTGGTTTCATTTTTTAAATATTTAACTGATATTCCTTTTTATTTATTATTTGACTTATATTCATATTGGAAAACTTTTTCTCTTGTTTTACACATTTTATTTTTACTTTTTCTCTTTCTCTTTCACATTTTTTTACTCCTCTTTTTTCTCCTTTTTCTACCATAGTTATAAGTGCTATTAACCCTTAGTAGGACTAAAATAAGCCCAAAATTCAACAATAGGAGTACAATCCCTTTATTCTCAAAATAGGACTAATATATGTCTATTCATCCCATTCTACCCCCTTCCTATATTTTTCAATAAATTTATTTTATCAATAAGAAAATCATAGTTTTATTTATAATAAAAATTAAAAAATAATAATAAATTTATAAAATAATAATGAAAACGTGAAAAAATTAAATAAAAATAAAAAAATTAAAAATAATAAATAAATTACTATTTTTTTTAAAAAAGTCTAAAAATAAAATAAAATACCTAAAAAATATTTAAACAATATGTAACTCACTGCTAACGCGTCATCTACCTCCCAGCACCACCGGCTCCGATGGCCGGGGAATAATGTCATCTTGTGTGAAAAATAGCAAATTTATCTGAAAATGTCATACTCTTTGAAAACTATCCAGCTTTATCTTGCTTTCTCTTCAAAATTGCCATCAAGATGACATTTGCCCCCCAACTTGGCAATCTTTTCCGGCGACTGAAGGTGGCGGTACAGGAAGGTGGTTAAGGTCTATATATATTTTAATTATTTTTTACGATTTTTATTTTTTTATTTTGATTTTTTTTATATTTTTTAATGATTGTTTTAAAATCCTATTATCAAGGACAAAGGAAATGGTAGAATAGGAAGAGTTGGTCCTATTTTGGAAATTTAAATTTTAAACTTCTATTGTTGCAATTATCCTTTTATTTACTCCTATTTAGGTAAATCTCCCTAGTTATAATACCCACACTTATATCTTCAATAAATACCAAATGTGTCAACTATTGAAAACCCGCATAGCATTGCTTATTACGTAATCCATCCGTTCCTATTATAACTTTCAAATTTCTATTTTCGTTCGTTCCAATTAAAAGTTCCACTTTCTCTTTTTGGTAAAGAATTTGTGGTTCACAGCGTTTCTTACACATTTCTCTCTCCTCTGCATAAGTGATGGGAGGGAAGTATTTGTTACATAAAAACTTTGAACTACTTTTCTATGATGGTGTGTGACAATTACGGTCTTATTTGTATGCAGTATGTAGCATTTTTGAACCGCAATTTGATACTCCCTCCGTCCCGTTGGAATATTCCCGGTTTGACCTACACACATATTAAGGAAATAAATTTACCATGGGGTAAATTTTACTGTTTTGACACTGTTTCGACACTGTTTGGCACTGTTTCGACACTGTTTGACCATGTTTTGATGTAGGATAACTTTCCATTTAGGGAAATGGGAACTTTCCAACGGGACATCCAAAAAAGGAAAGCGGGAACATTCCAACGGGACGGAGAGAGTACTATGTATCTATTGCGGAATATTTGTTTCCCCATCAGTTTAAATATTATTTATTTTGAACCGCAATTTGATATCTATTACTGAGTATTTGTTTCCCCATCAGTATAAATAATTTCTTTTTTGTATAATTAATTTTTTACCTGAAAATAGAATTTAGTAGGAAACAAATGTAATAAAATGGAAGTTTTTCTTAAAAATTACTCAGTGCTAATGGTTATATACACCATTGAGTACAACAATGAAAATAGATGAATTTTAAGTCTTTTATAAAAGATAAAGGATATAATAAATTTGTGATTTGGATGATATATAAATTGTAGCATATATTCAGCTAATAATTCTTTAATGATCGCATAATGTTTACATTGTTTTTTATTTTTCCCACTTTTTTTAATTTTCATTTAATATTTATTATTTGGAGTATAATAAATAATCTTCCAATATTTTAATTTTCATTTAATATTTATTACTTGGAGTATAATACTAGTAAATAATTTTACTACTGTATTTTTTTCATTAGTCAAGTACTTAAGTAGTTGTGCAACACGTGATAACTCAGAAACAGGAAAGGTGATTGTTGGCATCTTTAATTAGTATTGATAGAGTCCACTTGATGCGTTCTATTGTTAATTTTTGTACGTAATACTTTCTCCGTCCCGGAATTATCTTCATTCTTTCATTTTCGGTCCGTTCCAAATTTATCTCCTTTTTCCCTTTTTGGTAAAGAATATGTGGTTCACAACCATTCTTACACATTTCTCTCTCCTCTGCATAACTCTCCACCACACAAATCTCATTATCTTAAAACTCGTGCCCGGTCAAAACCGGAGTTAAATATGGGACGGAGGGAGTATTTCATTTTGGTGGTCCTTTTACTCTAAAATGCTTTTCACACTTTTCACTTTGCGTGATTCCAAAAAGTTACCTTCTCGGCTTCTCCTAATATTAAAATCTTTTTCTCATTTTGGTTTGACATACCATACTCCCTCCGTCTCGGAATTATCTTCATTCTTTCATTTTCGGTTCGTCCCAAATTTATCTCCTCTTTCTTTTTTTGGCAAAGAATTTGTGGTTCACAATCTTTCTTACACATTTCTCTTTCCTCTTCACAACTCTCCACCAAACATTTCCCACTATCTTAAAACTCGTGCCCAATCAAATAAGGAGATAATTCCGGGACGGAGGTAGTACTATATATAGGATGATACAAAAGAAATACGTGAAGAAACCCGGACAAAAATGTGTTCTCATTTCCTCCATTTTAAGTTAAAAATAGCATTAGTATGGATTATTTTATTTCTAAATAAATGCCAATCACATCCAGAAAATGTTATAAAAAGCGGATGGGCAGAACATCAATACATCATAGGAAGGAGGAGGTGAAACTAAAAGATTCGCAACACCTCAACAATCTTTTGATGCAAGTATGAGACTTAATATTAATATGGACAAAGAGACGCAACTTTAGATTTTTGGCTTATCAGGCTTATCAAACAACTTTTTTATTACACGTAAATTTTGCTTTCGCACGTTGAATTGTGTAATAAGCTGAAAAAGTAAGGTTGGAGTTACTTTTCTGGCTGTATTGGCTGAAGTTACTGTAGATGACCATTTTAGCTATTTTTACATATAATTTATTCTTTATCTTATTAATAAAATATATTTTAAAAATATTTTTTTCTTGTATCAGCAGAATCAGCCAATGCAGCCACTTCAACCAGAACTTCATAAATTTCAGCAGAATCAGCCAGAACAGCTGATTTTCATGCTGC